ACTTCAGATTCCTCTCTTCCTGAAGCTCCTGTTTTCACTATTTATAGGCACTCTTGAAAGCATGCCTATTGCAAGAAGCTCCTTAACAGACCTATCTTTCACATTTAACAAGTACTTATGCTTCTTCTGCAATAATCGGAATCTTTTTTGTAATATTTATTCCAGTGGTATATGGTCTATTTCTTTCTCAGCCAATTTCTGACTAGAAATATCTTCATGAAACCGCTCAATCAAAATCAATTGCCAGAATTTTTTTCCAATGTGTTATGTTTAGTCAATGCTTTGGAAGCATACCTCACTGGGTGACCATCTCACAGAAGAAAAGCGCCCAGTGCATTTAAGCTTGTGCAACTGAGATTTTAGGGTCATTGTTAAATCGTAAAATATTTCTGTGCTGGTGCATCTATGATTTTGTTTGTTTGTTGTTTTAAAATTTCCAGAAACTTTTCTCATGTCTCATCTCAGGCCATTCTGTGTTGTTCTCAAGAAGCATTCGGGGGCAAGGGGAGGAGCACTTAATTGTGACAAATCAGGCATGAATTTGCCTAGCTATTTTAACGTGCCAATGAATCTCTGTAAGCCCTCATTGGTTGAGGGATTTTCCTTTTGTACAATTGCCTCTACCTTTCTAACTCCCAAGGTCACTGAATATGAGTTTTACATAACTATTTGCATTCAGCTTCATCTGGCATTTACTCCTGTTTAAATTAAGGTCCTTTTCATTGGCCTGTTGGTTACTTCTAAAGAAAATGTGGCTTTCGCAAGCAACATTCTTGCCTGAATCAAAGTATTCTTGAGTGACTTCACCTAACAGTTTGCACTCCCCATTCTCCCACTGAAATGTACTGTAAATCATTCAGTGCCTTGCAGCCTGCCATATGCAGTATGGTGAAGGATTTAGCTTTCTCCCATTTATCTTGAACACTACTTGCTTCTAGGAAACTTAAAGCACTGCAGTCACCTCCTCCAGCTCTCTTGCGGTCGAAGAGATTCAGGTTACTTCAATTGCTCCATTATTGTAAGAGATTCATTTTACTTAAAATAAAAGGTGTGACATACAGAAGTACTGGAAAGGAATAGATCTCTATTTCCTTGTTCCAGTGTCTGACATGGGTCTGGGTTACAAAAGGGTATAGTCAGTATCCATGGACACCAGTAATTGCTGTTATAGTCATATTGTATTATGATATACGAGGAATAAGGAGTTCCTGATCTCCCTCTCCATACCATTCATTATGTATACTTTTACCACATGCCCTCTTATTTATTCTTCTTCTGTCTAAAGCAGTAACAAAAATAGTTTATATCATATTATTGCATAATTTGAGAAATAGTATGTGATCATATACTTAAAGCCTGTGAGTAAATGAAAGTCAGGGGAGTTTTACCACCATAAAATTGATGTAACGGAACAGAAAATCAAATCCTATCTTTGCACATGTGTATAGGGAGCAGAGCTAAAGGGATACTGTCAGCTTCAATTTGGTCAAAAGATTATTCTTTTGTAAAAACAATCTTTATAAGACCAATAGAAATATTTTCATAATGTTTAATTCAATTATGCTTATATAATAAACTGTTTTAATTTATTCCCCTGCAGTGCCTCACCCCCAATCACTGAAAGTGACTATGAAACTCACTAAAATTATATTTGTCTAAACTGAGCAATAAACAAAAAAGGAAACATCATGAACAACGACAAATAAATTAGATTAATATTCTCTTGCTTTTGTAATATAAGGTGTTATTTGATAATTTAGTTAAATAAATGTTTGCTTACAATATACTTCATTTTGTTAAATCTACATTAATTTCATTGTCATACTTATTCCAATATCTCTTTACTGATTTAATCACTAATCCTGCAAACATTTACTTTGCAGTGTTACATACTTCTAAGTATACCTGGCAATTATTTGTTGGCTAACTTATTACAGGCTTCCTGGTAGAGAAGTAGGACTCTTGATCAGGGATTTGAATGCTGAATGGGTAGGGAAGGGTGTTCCATGTATAAGGGGTGGTGGCATGAAAGAACATGCACAGGTGGTTGAGAGAGAAAAAAATAAACTGGGAAACACACTGGCATCAATGGAGATACGGCAGGTATAAGGAGCAACATGAAAAGAAATAGTCAGATAAGCAGGGAAAGGTAGAGTTACGTAGAGCTTTGTAGATACCTGATGTGCTGGTGAGGGGGAAGCAGCAGAAAGATTCAAAGTTGACCTGCACATGATCAGATCAACTGGTTAGGTAGATGATCTTAGTAGCTGAGTTTTGTATTGATTAAGGAAGGTTAGAGCGGGAGGGGAGCACAAACATTGGTGTCAGAGTGCCCAGTGAGAAAGAGGTTGCAGTAATCATTGCAAGAAAATACAAAAATTGGATGAGAGTTTTTGCTGTGTAGACAGAAAGAAGAGGTCAGATATTGCTGACTGTGGTCTGATAATCAGGTACAGAAAGTCAGAGATGGGCCTAAGCTACAAATTTCATCAAAATTCAAGGGGAGGTGGATTTAGTCTGCTAGTTAAGCCCACTAAAGACAAAAGTCTAAGCTACAATTTCTGTAACTGGAGTGGATTCAAACTCTCCCAGTGTGTTCTTTGGGAGGCAAAAGAGCCTAAGGGAGAATGGATTCAGTATTTCAATTCAGGCCTAAGTCTAAGCAAGATAGAAACAAAAAGGATTCTGTTAGAATGGCTCACCAGAATCTAAAAAAGAAATAGATGGGAATAAAAAAAGAAATAGATGTGCTTGGATATTCCTATAATAGGCACATTAAAATAGATAAGATGACAAGGGAAAAAGGCAGGTAATTGCTATGAATGGCTTGTTTAGTGCAGACGGTATACTTGGTGCTATAGGAAAAAAAACAAAGGGAAGGCTTGGTCTCTACCCAAAGGAGTTTACAATCTAGATGATTTATTATGAACTAGTCACTTATTTACAATTTAGCTACCATATCTGGAGATGACAGTGGAGAAAAAAATAAATTAGAGTGTGTCAAATCAGCACAGTGCATGTCTTATTTCATTATGAATGTAAAACATGACATAAAAGTGCAATTCTAATTTGATATGCAAATCCCTCTACACTAACCTTGACTGAATGACAGCAGTAAAGTGACAACATTCTCTAAAATTCACACCTTAATTCTGTTTTACTGCTTTTCTTGCATGCTAGTAAAATTTTGAAAAATGAAACAAAGAATTATGACAGCTCTAGTTAAGAGAAAACACGAATATAGCAAAGGGATTTCTCTTCAGTGCGGGTAGCCTCTTGAAATATTTTACATTGCAGCAGATGGTGTACACCACACAAAGCAACTTCTCCCTTCAGTAGTTGCAATTAATTACAAGAATTTTAGTATCTCGTTGCCTATCTAGGCTGATTTATCATGTCTCAGCCTTCACATCAAGAAGGCAACCATCTCTGCTATCATGGTAACTAATGCTTCATGGTTCTGAAGGTACCTGTTGCACACAGAACTAAACTACATCTCTTATTAACACAAATACACCCCGAAGTATCTTCTCCATAACACAGGAATGTTAAATCCCCAAACCCCTCCTAAACTCACATCTCCTATATGGCACTGAACTGAAAAAAGGTAGCTTTAGAAAAACAAATGGACTCAAACCACATGTTAATGAATATGTTGCACAGCAGTAAAACAAATGAAAAAATGTACCACAAAAATGCTATAATCCGATTTAGCTTGATCAAAAAGTTACAGGAGCTACACCTCCAATACTTCAATATCACATTGCATTATTGACTAGACGCACAGTGAGTGGGTTTCAGTGGGTCTCAAACATTAAGCATAGGTACTGCAGGAAATAGAACACTGGACTAAATGGGCCAATGGCCTGCTCTAGCATATCAACTCCTATTTTCTTAGGTACGTACTAACAACAAATTAAAAAGAACAATAAATCAAGTAAACAAACAAAAAATAATCACAACATAAACACAAACTGAAAGAATATGTATTTTTCCATTGTAATTGCATTAAAAATAAATACATTTCAGATAGAACTGGAAAAAGTAACACTGAAAAAAAAAACCCAATCACAAAAGTTATTAAAACCAGTGAAATAAATAAATGAGTAAGCCACTACAACCAGGATTTCTTGTGAAACTAAATCAACCAACGGGCAAGAAATGCGCTGAAGACCTATTAAGACAGTACAGAATATAGAATACATAAAATGTAACTATCTTTTTGTTTTACAACCTAACTCAAACAAGCAGCATAATTCTCAACCACTTCACCTCCTTCTGAGCTATAATTTAAAAGCAACACCACTAACATTATTTAAATAATCTTCGTTTTACCTTTAAAAATAACTCTCAATTATGCACACCTGCATCTCCACTTCCCATGAATTTGCTTCAAAGCTTCTTTTTTACGGCCAGGTTTGGAATGGGTTTCTGGGGGACTTAAAAATTCATGAGGCGATCACAAAGGCTACCTTGGCTCACCTGTGCTCTGAGAGCGAGTGACCCAGGCAGGCTCATCTCAACATCTCAATTGTAAGAAGAGCGAGGGACACCCACCCTTCCTTCTAAAAGTTCCTGAACGTGCCTCTTGGTGTGTCTGTATTCACACTGTCAGTCTTGGCAGGACCATCCTGGGATGGATGGAGATACTCAGCTAGGGAGCACTGCACGTCCCTGCTTGCCACACACTCCTCTCCAATACCGCCTAGTTGGAGCCAATCAATCACTATTTCTATTTGAAGCCATTAGTGCAGCTCTACATTTCCCTGTCGCCCTGATCTCTCCTCGGGGCACCGTGCCCCTATGGCTTTGTCCCTCTCTCCCCGCCGGGGTCCCGCTTTGCGTAAAGCCCCAGCCCAGGGCAGCTGCGACCGCTCCCCCGCTGGCAGAGGGAGAGGGGCACCGGGGCGGCTCAGCTCCGCGGGCTGCCGCCCTCTCCAGCCGCCAGCGCACGAGGGGAGCGCGGACCAGCGGGCGCCCGAGCGGTGGGAAGCGCTTACCTTTGCCAACGCACCGGCGTCCTCTTCCTCCGCCGGGCCGCCGCGCGAGGCTCTTTTGTTCTCCGGGGGAGGGGGGGTGCACGCGCTCTCCGGGCCCCCCGCTGGGGCTGAGCTTGGAGGCTGAGCCGAGGCAGCCGCCCGTCTCCTCGCCAAGCGCCGCCGCCACTGCCACCGCCGGGCTCGTCGGCGCTACGCGGAGCTCTGCCCAGCCGCTGGCGCCCCGGCAATGACAATGGAGCATTTGCATGGAGCGGCGGCTTCGCCTGCGCTGGGAGTCGCAGGGCCACCACCTGTCAGCGCGCCGCGGGCAGCCCAGGCCGCGCCAGCCTGACGCGCGCAGCGCCCCGGCGGGCCCCGCTCTGGGGCTCCCGCCACACCGCGGGCCCCATTCCCTGAGGGGGGTGGGAGGGAGAGGGGCACCCAGGGCAAGCTGGGGAAAGGAGCTGCCCGGGGCCGGTGATAGCAGCGGCCCGGGAGCCCCGGCTTCTGGGGAGCAGAGAGAAAGAGACGCCCGGGGAGCCGGGGTAAGAGTGGAAGCAGGAGCCGGATTGGAGCCGCTCCGTCGGCCTACACCTGCCTTGACGCCCCCACGCCTGCTCCCTGTGCGGAGGACTCATCCCCTGGTTGTTTCCCCCCAGAGAAGGGTGCCCCGTGATGGGGACACAGCCTGACCCCCATAGCCGCGATGCTTCCTCCGCACCTGCAGGCCCTGCTGTGAGAAGCGTCGTGTTCAGCTGCCAGCCCCACTTCTCTAGGCCGGGGCTGGCCAAAGAAATAAGGGCACCGTTCAATAGTGTTAGCCTCTTTAGTCGGTAACTTTCCTGCTGTGGCATCCCAAAGTGTCTAAGCGGCTCTGCAAAGTAAGCACTTCAGTCACCTTGAAATGCAGCCACCTCTGCAGTGAAGCACAGCAGCCCTTTACAGTGTTGCAACTCTCCTGATTTTATTGCAAGTCTCTAGTTGGTGGGGGGGAGGGGGTTTAAGCCCCAACTACTGCTGTCAATTCAGCATGTTGGAATCTCAGCTTTAATTTTTAAGAGAAAGTTTCTAGGCCTCACCGTTGCAAAGAAAATCATAAAAATCTGATCCCCATTGTACACCCAGTGGTTAAAATAGAAATGACAAAAAGGACCCAGAATTTATTTTTAAAAACTCATTGTTCTGGGGCTGACTCATAGTTTTTTAACACTTGGGGTTGGCAGTACTAACACCGCACCTCTATTGAACATGGCAGTGTAGAACATGAAGTGAAGAATACCCAAGTAAAGAACTAAAACTGCCAGTCAGCTGTATGTTTTAACAGCTTCATTTCCTAGAGGTTCACTGTCAGTCTAAAGAAGTCGTATGGGTGGAATGTTGTTAAGTTGATGTGGGATAGCCCAGCCATGCTGAAATGAATTAATGGATGCCTAACTTCTCACATCCAACCCTGGACAAAAAGTTTGGCATCATTCCCCTCATCTTGCTACTTGGCCAGACCAAATTCAATCCCCAGAGGAGTGAAGGATTCGTTTCATGTAG